TTGCCCATTGTAAACACACCTCTACGTATCAACACAGAGTTGGCTGCACTGGATTTATCAACTTTCTGCTTCTAGGTAATAGCCAATCTAGAATGGAAAAGGGAAAAAAAGGACTAGGTAGCAGATGGTCCCCTGAATGTTATAAAACTGTTTCTACAAGCAATTTCCCAATCTTAGCACTCTTGATATTTGGGCCAAATAATTTTGATGTGGGGGCTTATCCTGTGCGTTAGAAGATATTTTAGCAGCATCTCTGGCCTCTTCCCACTGGATGCCAGAAGTTCTCTCCATCTCTGTCAGCTTAAGCAAAAATGTCTCCAAACATTTGCCGAATACCCCCTTGAGAGCATAATTGCCCCTCTGGTTTAGAATCACTGGTTTAAAGCATAGTAGCAAGTTTTTAAATTTTGTATGCTACTTTACCTGTTTTGTTGCTGAACTGGAAATAAATTTATCAATTCTTAGGTAATAAATTTTAAAAACATAGAGATCCTCAGCCTCACCCTATTTGTGATTATATTCATGGTACTCTGGTTTATAAGCCTTTTTCTAAAATTTTATTTGGGCCATTAAAACAACATAAAATGATTTTCTTAGAAGCTTTGCTGAAAGTTCAATTAGCCATTGTCCTTATACATTCCCTCTGTCCATAACTTGACCTACTCAAAATTTTTAAACATCAGCTTTGTCTAGCATATATTTTTTTTAAACTATGTTGGTTATGTGAAAATTGCCCATCTTTTTTACGGTCTCTGCTCAATGAGTTTATACAATGAGTCTCTGGTAGGAGACAGACGTGGGAGTGAAAATATTTCTCCTTTAACCACAGGAAGGGATTTTTTTACAATGCCTTTTAGCAGCGGATGCCTAGGGTACCTCACCCAGCAGGAAACAGAGAGAACTCTCTTTTTGCAATTGGAAAGTAGAACTTTATTCTAGCTAAACCCTTTCATAAGCTTCCTCTCCTGGAAGAGACAATCCAAGTAATGGACGTTTCTCTAAATAACCATGTCTTGATATAGAAGGCAGCCCTTTAGTTTAAGAGAAATGCATTTAAAATTAGTGAATACTATGTGATTTTTTAAAAAGTCTTACACATGCATATTCAGTTGTTTTATAGTGAGGTGAGTTTTATTAAATTGTATTAAATATTTTCATTGATGATCAAAGAAAATTGTATCTGTACAGACATAGAAGAGTCCAGGTAGACCCTGATAACAGCTTCCAAAGGATCCAGGGAGCGAAAGAGGGCATACCTTTTATTTAGTAGAAATCTTAAAACCAAAATAACTTGCATGGCTTTAACTTCAGTAGTTTAAAAAAAAAAGAGTTGGGGGGGTGGTTGTGTGATTAGGCAGATATTTTTAACATCTGGACATAATTTTTAACTAAAAAAAACAGATAGTGTTGTAAAAGCCATTTATACTCTGAGCTTGAAACAACTTCTTTATGCCACAAAATTCCTGTTGCTACCTCCATTAGTGACAGCATAATTCAATATGTCTTGAATGTCAACATATTTTTTATTACTCAACCAATGTTGGCTTTGCTGGATTAAATGTCATTTAAAGTGATCAATTGGAAGCTTGCTCCGTTTTAGTTTTTTGGGTTTTCTTTCCCCCATGTCTATGAAAGAAAAAAGTGTGTAATATACAAATGTCCATGAAACTTATAGGTAAAGTTCGTTTTCTGGTAAGCTTTGTCCTTTATTTGTCACCCAAAGAGCAGATAACATGATAACAAGACCCACGTTCGATGCCTCTGAAAATCCAACATGATACCCCAGTGCTGGGTCGCCCTGGCTTGGAGAAATCGTCTGCTTGACATTTTACTATTTTATGAGAACTAGTAAGCACTATAATGTAAAAGAGAGAATAGAAACAAAGCAGTGGAAACCCTGTGCAGATGGTAATGGATGTTAGAACCATCAGCAATGGGTTTCAGCTCACAGTAGGCCTCTAGGGTGCAAAGCCTTCTGCCCAGAGCCCAGAGCATCTCACTCACCTTTCTTATGGGTAAAATTTCTTTACACATACACACACACACACAACTGGGTAATTTCTTTATGTAAAATTGTGTTAAAATGAATGCACTGGAGAATTCATTCTCATTCCAGAGGCATCCAGGTATCCTCAACTCTTTGTAGTAAAGGTGATCCTAACTGTATGAGGAGACCTGGGAGGGGTTAGATGCAAACCACCTTTGTCCTTCCTGACTTACTGACATTTTTATGATAATATTTGATTTTGTCAGATGTTTTCCAGTTGGAAGAAACTATGGAAAATGAAAATGTGCCTGCCATTTGATGGCGGGACAAAGAGTGGATAATTGAACCACAGCTCAGTTCTTGTCTTAGTCCATTGAGGGTACTGTAACAAAACACCAGAAACTGGGTGGCTCATAGATAACAAAAATACATTGCTCACACTTCTGGAGACTGGTAAGTCCAAGATCAAGGTGCAGGTAGATTAGAGGTCTGGTGAGGACCCACCTTTTAGTTCACAGAGAGCACCTTCTTGCTGTGTCCTCTCATGATGAGAGGGCATGGGACCTCTCTCAGACCCCTTCTATAAGGGCACTAATCCGTCTCATGAGGATGGAGCCCCATGGCTTAACCCCCTCCCAAAGACCCACCTCTTGATACTATTACCTTGGGGGATAGGATTCAGCATGTGAATGGCAGGGTGCATTTGACATTCAGACCATAGTAGTTCCCTGTTCCCTTTGTAATGAAAGTGAGGCAGGACAGGGAGGTAGCTGAGGGGTAAAGACACAGTCTACTTCTCTGCTTTGCTTAGAAACTGGAGTCATCCTCTCCAAGTGTTTTTAAAACGAGCTAGATTATTCTGTCTGCAATAGTGTGGTACCAACTTCTCAGGGTACTTACACTGACACTAGGGTTGGTGGCCCGCTTGCTTCCCCCACCTCAGCCCACACTGGGGCAATAACAAATGAACCCTCAAGAAGGGGTGTGAACAGAAGAAGGGGCCCAGCAGCTTCTGATGTTAGAATGGGGTTCAAATTCCAGGATTGTGGAATCATTGTTTCAAGAAGGATGCCACTTGTCTTTTTCCAAAACACAACAAATCACACATTACATTAATTTTTAGGCAGAGACAATACAAAAGAAATGATACACTAAGGGATACTAAAAAGATTTAGGGTCAATTTAAGCTTCATGGTAGTTCCTTAAAGGATCAAGCTTCCTGGAAAACCCCATATTTTTTTGCCAGTTCCTTCTGCCCTTCAGAGAGAAAGCTGGATTTCACAAAGGATGCACTACGTGGTTAAACTTTGCCCTAGAAAGTCCTTAGGTTTTTACAGATATGTACCCATTGTACAGTGTCTCTGAGAATAGAAGTCGAATCCGAAACTGTGGCATGGCACAGGCTTTACAGACAATCAGAGCCTAGCATCATGATGTACCCTGAGTGAGTAAATTACCAAGCCCTCTTGGCCCCAGCTTCCTGGCCTATTAAATAGGAATAGCAACAGCACCTGCCTCATGGTAGTGTAAGGGCCAAGTGGAACCACGCTCGCAGAAGATACAGTACAGTGCCTGCAAACAGCACCCAATAAATATTGCTGTTATTTTTATTACTTTCCTTTCACCCACATTATCACTAATACAATAATCCTGTAAAGTAAGTGTTGCGATTCTCATTTCATAAATGAGGAAATAGAATCTCAGGGAGATTAGTGGTTGCCTGACTAAATTCCCCTTGTAAATATACTCTCTCCAAAGAAGAGTGACTTCCTGTCTCTGGCATGTGAATGTGCCGACTATAAGATATTCCAAGTCTCAACTGGACATGCCCTTCCCAGGTGCGCCAGGCCAGGCCCTTCCCAGTGTACCAGATAGCACATTATAGTGCAGGAGCCAGGAATTCAAATCCCAGTGACCTCAGGCAAGCTCTTGTGACCTCTTTGAAGATTAGAAATAATACCTATACATGCCAAACACATATTTGTCATTCAGTGATCTTCCATTACCAGCTATTCTGGCTAGGGCCAAAATCATACAATGACCACCTGGAAATGGCACCTCTAATTCTCATCTGGAGGCCAGTCCTGTGTCATCTAAACCTAGAAGGTACATATCTATGTCCACCTACCTATCAAGGCTCTGTACAGCACAAACCCAAAAAGAAACAGAATAGGGGAGGGGTGTACATCCCATGTCTTCTCTTTTAATTTGCCAATCCACAGCCAAAAGCTTTGGCTTAGCACAGAACCAGGGCTGTTCTAAGTCACTTAATAAATATTTGTTGCCTGACTATATAATAAAACATTGGTTCTGCCAGTAGAGAAAGGATTTTCTGCACCAGGTTCCTCTCTACCATGATTCTAGTAGAGTAAAGCAATTTTAAAGGTCTCCAAAGCATGATATCATGAGAGTTATCTATTTCTTTTTAAAAACCCTGCTAGCCACGGTTACCACTGTCAGCATCACCAAGCTACATAGGTTTTCACTACATAGGTTTGCATTGCTTTGGGGCCGTGTTTTGGCCCAGCCCAGTCTTCTCATGTTTATCCATTCAGTGTCTCCACCAACATCAAAAGAATCTTTTAACCCCACCATTTTTTAACACACCACTTTCTCTGGAACTTTAAAACATTCTTTCCACCTTTCACCCTGCTAGCCCGTTTGCAGGCGTCCACCAAAGCCAACTCATTCCCAGGTAGAGCTTGTTCTATCTTTCAATGAACTGTGTTCAAGTTCAAGTTCTGGCCATGACCAAGGATAAGTCTTTCCCTCATTCTGGGTCATGATGTCCTCATCTGTGAAAGGGGGTGGTGGGCCCAGAGGATCTCGAAGCCTCCACAGGTCAAAGATCATACTTCTCCAGCATAGTCTCCCTCGCTCTCTCTGGACCTTAGATTCTTCACTGTAGTTCACACCTGGCAAAAGTGATTACTGAATTCTTTTCTGATTCTCGTTGTTCATGCCTCAACAGGAAACATTTTCAATGCTATTTTCCCTTCATTTTCCTCTGTAGACTGTAGACTGCTTTGGGATTACGTCTATCAGTTGCTTTCTGACAGCCGGTACGAAAACTTCATCCGATGGGAGGACAAAGAATCCAAAATATTCCGGATAGTGGATCCCAATGGACTGGCTCGACTGTGGGGAAACCATAAGGTAAAAGGGCAGCAGATCCTTGCTCTATGAACTAGTGCCCCCCCCCCAAAAAAAAAGTGCATCTCTGGATTGGAGGGTCATTGTCTGTTCTACTTCCTAAGTCTGCCCATTATCATTTAGTTTATTCCTCATTGGAAGACCGTCACAAAGGAAGGAAATAATTAAAGATGCCTCTTTCCATGTTACTTATGCCAAATGCCCACTAACTCAGTAAATCTCAGTTTGATAGACTGCATTGTAAGTATCCCTCAGTGCCACTGCCCTCCACCTGGCCCTGCCACCCCTGCTGTCATAGGAACTGAGTGACAGGGAAGTGTTATGAGCTCTATGACTCATGGGGGACCTTTGGGAAGTGTCACTTCTGTCCTGCTCAGTTGGAAACTCCCATGTTCACAGAAGTCCATTTCTACATGGAAAAATATGTCTCTGGACTGTAAAACCTTGTTTTTACAAGAAAACAGTGCAGCAAGTTTGCCCCACAGTTTTCCAAACTAGGAGGAAATGGAATTTACAAAGGAAGTCTTTTATAGAAAGGGAGACTGTTCCAATGTGCAGATATAATAAGTGGAGAATCATGATCCAGGTCAGACAATACATAGGTAGATCTGAGGTCAAGCTGGAGGTACCCTGATGGCACCGGGTGGCACAGCCTCAGCTCAGGGACTGAAAGGGCAGGGATGCACAGCTGAGCCCTGCCAGGCCTGCAGCCTCCTAAGAAGGCAGTCCATGCTCTGACTGGGTTGAGAAGGACCTGATGCAGGCCATGACCAAATATGGCCAGGCCTCACTGACAGACACTTCAGTGTGTGAGTCACTGAGAAATACTTTCTGCAACTCCCAGATTGTACCGTGGCTCAAGGGCTCACAACCACTGTATTCTTGCTGCCACAATAGGAATTTAAACAACAACAACAAAAATCTCTTCCTTAAAATGACAGACCAGAAACACATTTAAGAAAGGTCGTGGCAACAAAAAAAGAAATTCTGTATGGGTCAGGAGGTGAAGGAGGACCCAGATTGTGGGAATCTTCAGGAAATCGCTGGGGCATAGCAGAGAGCAGTCTTGGAGGAAGGACCTGAGGGAGGTGGCTGGGGTTTTATTGGCCAGAGCTTCAGGCCTTGTGACAAAGGGTGGTTCACCCTAAAGGAAAACCTTGGCCTCAGTGTATGTGAAAGCCAAAGGGAAGGAAGAGGAACGAAGGGGTCTGGAAGGTGGCACGTTAGCAGGTAGTGTTCCCAAGCTGGCAGGGCCACGTGGACCAGCTGAGGAGCTTTTATTTTAATAGCTCCCCCAGTTCCTTTCCTGAGGTTCATTTCATTGTGTCTTTGTGCTTTTTTTCTCTCTTCCTCCTTTGAACAAACAGAACAGAACAAACATGACCTATGAGAAAATGTCCAGAGCCCTGCGCCACTACTACAAACTAAACATTATCAGGAAGGAGCCAGGACAAAGGCTTTTGTTCAGGTAGCACTTCCGTTTTCTTCCTTTCCTTCTTTTAGGAGGATATTGTCTTCTTTAAATAAGGGGGAGGAGGGAGATTGTTAAGATCTCTACCTGCCTATCTGATCCCCAAAGCCATTATTGCAAATATTACAAATTGGATACCAGGTGATGGTTTGTTGAGATTGAAGGGGGGAAAAAACTTTTTATATTGATGTCTGGCCTCTAGTAAAGCCAAAACTAAATATAAACACAGTCTGACTCACCTTTAAAATAATGCAGTGGCCAAATAGTATTGTCTGGCTTTAAAGTCCAGTATAGGTAAAGGGAACAATCAGAGTAGCCATTGTCAATGTCAAAGTAAGGAATTAAACCTGAACTTCCAGGTTCTCAGCCTCATAAACCAGGGTTTGTCAAACTGCAGGTCATGACCCAGAGTGAGTCATGAAATAGGCTTAATGGGTCAGTCTCTGTTTCTTTCTTTTTTTTGTTTTTTTTTAATGCAATAGAAAACAGGATAAGATAGAGATGAAAATAACAGACTGCATCACATGAAGAGTGACTGTTGATTCACAAAGATTTGGTTTCAGCCGTGTATGTGTGTGTGTGGGGGGTGTGGGGGTGGGTGTGTGTGTGTGTGATGAATCATGATGTAAAATATATTTCTTCTAATGCTTCACAGTCAAAAAAGTGTGAAAGCCCCTGCACTAGATATTCTTCTTTTCAGAATTCCCACAGCTAATGAGTTCCAGCCATTTATCCTACCATATATATTATGATTTCAAGAATTAGAAAAGAAAAAGAAGGTATATAAAGGACCACTCAGGAAAGATAGAAGTAGTCCCCCGACATGGTTAGTAATTGATGCAGTGGCATCAAAGATGTGGGAGAATATGCGAGCAACAAATATGACCTTAGGTTAAGAGTTTGGGCAAGTGGACAAAGAAAAGAGCCACAGTTGGGACTAGAGATATGGATTTGGAGTTGTCTGTATACAGGTAGAAAATAACACTATGGATGAACACATGAGCTCTCTGGGATGGTGGTAATTATTGGAAAGAGCAATTAGGCTTTAGCTTTGAGAAGGAGTGGAAATTAAGGAATAGTAAAAATAATTGCAGTCTTCCACAAAAACAGAAAAGGCTATTCAAGAAATGAATAATGGAAGAATGGAATAAATACAAAAGAACCCTCCTAACTCTGGCTCTGTTGATGTCTTCTCTCCATCTTTCATCCTAAACTTAATCCTTGGGTCCCTGTTCTTCCTACTCTACACTTTTTTTCCTGAATGAATTGATCCCATTATACGACTTCATTTGTCACCTCCATTTTGTCACCAAATTTAGATCAAGCTCTAAAAATTTCCTTGAAATTCCAAATGTGCATGTTCAAGAGCTTCTTTTAACACTTTAAGGACTCCCACTTAAATATCACATTAGATTTTCAGACATATTAAGAAAGAACTAGAAATTCCTCCCAGAATTCTTGCTATTCATCATCCGCATCACCATTCTTAATTGGTCTTGAAACTAGAACTATTTTTAATTCCTGTGTCTAAGTGAGGCATGGTACTGAATTGTCCATTCTGTGTTACCGAGGCTTAGAAGCCTGGGAACCACATTTCCCAGGATTTGATGCCACATGGTGCCAGGTTGGAGTCTACTACCAATGACAGGCTCTTGCACGAGATTGGGAAGGTAGAGGAAAGGCAAAAGCATTGTTCCTGCTTCCCTGGCAAAGAAAGCTGATGTCTGTGCTTTGAACGTTCCCACCAGGATTAATTCAGCAATCTCCTTCTATGTCTGGTCCACCATTCCCCTGCCTCCTGAATTCATAATACACACTTCTGGTGTTCCTGTGACACTGATATGATTCCTTTTGCTTCAAGTACATATCCTTTACCTTTAAAGTACACATGCCCTCAAGGCCCGCCTCAGTTCTCCTACCTTTACAAAGCCTTCTTCAGCTCTCCCAAATGCTCTTCCTCCATCATTTCTTGAGTTCCCTTGGCCCTTAAACACACCTTGATTCCTATTTTTAATAGGTGTATGTATGAAATCCTTCTCCCCACAACTGGATCATAAGTTCCCAGAAGGTAGAGGATTGTACTTTATTTTTTTTTAAATATTTATTTATTTATTTATTTTCAGCGGACACAATATCTTTGTTTGTATGTGGTGCTGAGGATCGAACCCGGGCCGCACGCATGCCAGGCGAGCGTGCTACCGCTTGAGCCACATCCCCAGCCCCAGGATTGTACTTTATATAACTCTGTTTTATACCTTAGGGAGGGTTTCAATAAATATTTCATGACAAACTTGGTATAAAAGACCAGAAGATTACTATGACAAAGTAGTCCAAAGGAGAAGGCGGTAGTTTCGAGAACCAAGTACAGTCTATCTGTGGAGTTGGCCTAGAGGGATCGTTAGTGACTTCGGGATGTTGAGGGAGAAGTTTTAGCTAAGGGATAAAAGCAGAAGACTGATGCTACACATCACACTGCTTCAGAAGTTTAGCAATAGTGGGTAGAGAAGAAAATCAGTAGTAATTGGAAGGTTCATAGGCTTCCAGTAAAAGATTTTCAGCAAGAAAAAAGAATAGTGCTATTAGTGAGGGAGCCATTAGTTATTTTTGAGGAAATGAGTGTTGAAAGCCAAACTTGCTATAAAATGATGGCTTCTTTATAAGATTTTTAGATATTAAAGGGATTTGGGGTGTGGCTCAGTAGAGCACTTTCTTAGCATGTTCAAGGCCTTGGGTTTAATCCCAAAAGAACCAAAAAAAATTTTTAAAAAAATTAAAAATGAATCAAAGAAAAAGAAGTTTAGGTTTTGAGTGAAGGTAGATTTCAGTATGGACTGACACATTAAGCAGCTCTTTGATGATAAAGCAAAACACAAAGAATGAGTATCGAAAGGAGTGAATAGGGTTCCAGATAAGGACAAAGCTAAAGATTTATGGGAAGACCTGAACGATGGTCTATATAAGAAAAAGACTGGCAGACTGGAATGGAGGGTTCATGGAAGTGAGCAGTGGACGATAAGAATTTCCTGGGTAGGAATGATAGAAGACCCAGATAGGCAGGCCAGAGAGTACATCTTTGACTTGATACATCTTAGGCTTTTTGAACAAAGATGATGAGAGAAAATGTGTGTTTTAAGGTAGTTTGTCTGCTGCAGGCAGTGTATGGAAAGGGAACAGCATGCAGACATGCTGGGGCTATAGAAGGAGCACTCCCACTGAAAGGACATTTATAACCAGGCCACCTTCCTGAACCATGTCAATCATAGTTGACACAGGTCACTGATGGTATTTCCAAGTGAGCCATTTTTTAATTTAATATTCAGTTGTATCCTTCATGTTAAATTCAAGTTTTGGATACCATTCCCTGGCCCCATGGTCTGTAATAAAATGGATATATGACTCTTGTGGGTCTTTGTAAAACCTAATTCTCTAAAAAATCAGAAACACAGATACATGAGCTGTACCTAAGTTTCCCCGTGGTCCTGCAGTAACATGCCCCATAGATCTGAAGGGTGCTGTCTACCCCACCATAGTCACACTAGACGTTATAGTCATTTTGCCACTTTTTAGGCAATCAGAGGAAGGGGTACCTTTTGCTAATTTGCACCATGTTGGCATTAGCGTTTGGGATCAGCACCTCTCCAGCTACTGTAAGATGACAGGGCCTCGCTTTATAGGTTGGAATTCAGAAGTGTAAAGATAGCTTTGAAGAAATGTGCTCTCTTGACTCCTCCATTTTCTCTCCCAAAGGTTTATGAAAACCCCAGATGAAATCATGAGTGGCCGAACAGATCGACTGGAGCACCTTGAGTCCCAGGAGCTGGATGAACAAATATACCAGGAGGACGAGTGCTGAAGGCAGCCACACGCCACCTGGGCGGGCTGAGGGCGAGGGAGCCCCTGCCCACCAGGATCACTGGAGGCTTGATAAAGCTGGTGGGCTGAGGCCGGCTGGAAAGGAAGAGACCCAGCGATGGCAGGAACACTTCTCTTGCAGACCAAGAGGGACCCCAGAGCACCTTAGACAAACCACCCGGCAAAGGCGGGGCTGGAATTCTGGCGGAGGGCACGAGCCTGGGACTCGCGAGTCACATTTCCTTCTTTGGAATCTGTCCACCTGTAATTCCTCACCCTCACCCTTCCACCTGTTGTTAGTCTTATGGTGTTTTTGTTTTTTGTTTTTTTTTTTAAGAACCTGCAGTTTGACTTTTCATCGTTCATATAAGGGAAGACATCGGAGGTTGTTTTCCTATGGAAATATATATCTATTATATATATATTTTTTGCAAATCTCACAAAGTACAGCCAGCCCAGCTGGTCAGGAAAGAATACTTGCAGAAGGGATCAGGTTCCTCTTTTTCCTGCCACGTGGATCAGGTTTGTTTCTGTTGCAGTTGGGTCTTGGCTGAAAAAAGAAAAAAAAAAAAAAGATGCTTTTAAAAAATGATCACACGAGAAGGAGAGCTCTCTTTTTCATTCTTGCTCACCTTCCTTTTCTGGCTCCCCTGTGTCCCGCCCCCCCCAACCCCTCCGCCTGCTGTTGCACTTCACATGCCTTTCAGCCGAGTTCAGTCTCCTGCAGAATCTTGGGGATTCTTGGCACCTAAATAGAATCAGTGACCTGGGTGCTTTGTGTCCAGCAGCCAAAATTAGACCCCTATGCCAGCATCTGGCCACCCATCTGAGGGAGGCCAGAACCCTCACAGATGCTGCTGTACTCCAGAAAGATAAGTGCTATTCCAGCAGGCCGTCCCTGAGATGACGGTGAGAACCAACCAGCTACAGCGTCAGATAAGGCAAGTTGTTTGGAAGGCCCCCCCCCCCCCCCCCCCCGGCTGCTTGGGATTAGCTTTGCAAGTGCTGCAAATACAAAAAGACCACACAGGCCTGGCAGTCCAGAGACTGGGCAAAAATATTTCTACAGTGGAGATTTGTTTTTGTGAAACAGGTTATTGAAAAAGACAAGCTCCTCTCTGCTCCATTCCAGAGGCCATCTTGTGGTCAGTTTCCCACAGCACCTGATCTCCCCACCGCCCACCCCCACTTCCTAGCCTTTTTAAAGTTTCCTGGTCCCCACTGAACACAGAACATTTGTGAGGGGAGTACTCCAGAATGGAGTCCCAGATGCAGCCAGGGTCTGCCCGGCCTGGGCAGAAAGCAAGTTCCTCAGATCCATTACTTTCTCCTTCCTTCACCGTTGTATTTCAGAACGGATCCATTCCTGGCTCTTTTTCACCTCTCAAAATAAGGTTGGTAGTGTCTTACAAAAGGAGGGTCGTGCCATCTTAGTACTTCTGTTGATAACAGATTTTTCAGAAAACTGTTTTTAGATTTTTTTCTTCCTTTTCTAGCCATCCACATTAACTCTTCCATTATAGATTCGAATATCCAATTTGGGGAATACCGTCTTTTTTAATTCAGAAAATTAGACCTGCCTTGAAAAGCACCCCCTCCCCATTCCTCCCTGTTTCCTTGGCTCCTCCATTGGGTTAGCGTCTCTCAGCTCTCTGAGGTACTTATATGCTCCACCAGCAGCAGTTCCCTGTGAAGCTGGCAGGCCCCAGGCTTGTCCTCCTGCCATTTCTGAGTTGAGTTGGGGGCACACAAGCAAGAGGAATTCCCCCTGGGCCTTACTGAAAAGGATACCAGCCTGGGGTGGGGGGCAATAGATGAACTATGGTTCACAGACACTGGAATTGAGGAGCCGATCTGGGCTCATTAGTCTCGCTCTGTCCCTGCCTCTTACCAGACCACAGGTGGCGGCCAGCCTCCTCTTACTGTCACTTCCTTCCCCCATTCTGCTTTCTGTGTGAGCCTAGAGGGCCTCATTGTGAAGGGTTCAGTCTCAATCTGCTTGAAGGGGGGTGTGATTCTGCTGGATTCCAGCAGCTGTGAATGTCTTTCAAGAGTGTTCAGGTGATATATTTTCAGCCTCTAAGATGACTGGTACTATATCTCAAATGGAGAGATTAAGCCGAATACCTGGTGTGATCTGAAAGTCACCAAGTTTAAGAACTGGAGAGAAAGGATGGACTTTTTACCGAGGTTCTTATATGAATATGAAAACAGACCAGGGCATGATGTTCCTCTTCCCTGAGATGAGAACATCTCATTCTGGCCACTTTACCCAAGTTTCTGAACTCAGTCTCTTACCATTCCAAGTCTTACAGATGAAAAACGGAGGGAAATGCCTTTTTGCCCCCTAGGATTTCTGTATTCAAGGCAATATCTTATAAATATGTAAGACTTAGGATGACTTCTCCAGCCACTTGAAGTAGAGATGCTAATTCCAATATAATCTTAATTTCCCATTCCAACATTGCCAATAATGATGTTTTCTCTTGATTCCCTTCACTTCAAAAGTCCTTGTTCTTTGAGAGAAGAGCTGGACAGTCCGATACCAGAGTTACAGTATTGATGTACTGCAGATCCTGAAGATTTCACATTCAATTTATCAAACCTCAGGGAATCGCCTAACAGACATTGTGAGGGATTCAAAGATGAACCAGGCACAATCCCTCCCCTGAGAGTTTAGATTCTACCTACAGGATCGTCCAGCGTGAAATTTCTCAGTTCAACACTAAGGACTAGCAGTGATGAGAATTTCACCCCAGACTAAATTAAAAGTTCATGTATCATCTGAATAGTTGGCCTTTCTCTGTGGCCGTCATGGGAACTCGTAGCCCACAAAATCTGAAGTCAGGAAAGGAAAATGCAGAGGGGCACTGCTGTGTGAAAGGTGGACACTCTCGCTCGTGTCTTGGAATTCCCTTTCCCCAAATCATGAGTTCACTGAGCTGTCTCCTTCTGTCAGAAGAGAGCAGTGGTAGCTGGCTACATGGGTCCTGTCGAAGGTAATAACATGTCTCTCAGATATGCTTGATCCAAGGCCACTTGGTCTTGCCCTTAGGCAGCATTGCCAATGTTCCAAATCCCATTTGGAGGTCCCCCACAAGAAAAGAGGAACTGAGGGATTTTCTCCTTTCAACCATCTCTTTAAAATCCTCTGATCAAGGGCTGATACCTTATCCAACTAAAAATGTCCCTTTAGCTGAAATTTAAGTGGCTACAACAGAATTGGTCAAAATGACTAAATAACCCCCATGTCCATCCTTCCCTGCCTAGGCTCCAGCCCTGGATATGTTTTTGAACCATTAACTGCCATTTGCAGAAAGGAAGCCTGAGTATCAGAGAGGTAATGTCACCATTGGAGCAGATAATATGGCAGGGACAGAATTAGGATTGGGATCCAGCTTGACCACTCCCCCATTTGACCCATTATCACCCAGGAAACTGAAGATAAGAGATTTGGAAAAACAGACAAAGAACAAAGGGTAGTTTTCTTTCCCTAAGCATTCGGTGCTAGTCAGAAGCTTTCATTCACTCAGTCTGCTCCTTTTCTGAGCATAAACCTAGAGTAAAGGAAGTGATACAAGGAAGCCAGAGGGATGGGGGAGGGAGGGACACCCAATAATCCCTGTGTTGTCAGAACCACAAAAGACTAACCTGATACTCTTTTGGCCCCATCTGCATCAACACTAAACAACTGCAAACTCCCTGCGTCTTTCACACATGTCAAGTGAACATTCTCTGTGACTACACCCACCTGCAAACCAGAACGAATCTAGAATGAATTTTTTTTTTTGGTCTAGTTTCTAATCTCTTGTTTATGAGGTGTGGGGTTTATAAGGGACTGAATCAAATGAATGTAACAAAAAAAGAAAAAAAAATGCCTTTTCTCAGGGCCAGTGAGTTGCAAATAATTTTTAAAGAAAAGCCTATAATTACATCATCTCAATAAATTTTTTATAAAAAAAAATAGTCCTGGGTCTCTGTTTTTGATAATATGAAATGGAGTCAGGCAAGGTGCTCTGATGAGGTAAATCCTGTCTCCGCTCAATTACAGTGTAAAGGGCAGTCACGGGTTTGCACTGGCAGGAAGCCTCTGTTACCTAGCAGTCTGCAGACTATCTCTAGACAAGTGGCACCAAAAAGGTCAGAGAAGATCATTCAAAGCTCAGCAGCTGCCACAGGTGGAAAAATTTCACCCAAAGAAACCCGGATCAGAGATGCCTGGGCCCTGTGCTGTGTGGAAGATGTTCATTAAGGTGGTACCAGGACTTACAAGAACTTGGTCCTCACATGGTAGCATTCTCCCCTTAGGGTCTGAGCCTACAAGGTACCAAGGGTGTAAATGTAATTACAATGACCTGAAAGTCACTAGTTCAGAGCCAGCCCTATGCTGAAGGTCTCAGCCACAGAGGCCACTGATCAGCCAACCAGTGGGCACTTAGGATTTCAAGATCAAACACGGTGTGATCAACTATCCAGAACTATCCATCTGCCATCAGAGGTAGGCAGAAACGAGCAGAGTAGGAAAGGAAGAAAAACTACATTGCTTTTTAGCACCTTAGATGTAACTTTGGAACAGAAGGGTTTGAAATCAATGGTCTCAGAAAATGTTGTTAGATTATTCCTATAAATGGCCCCAGGTACTCTGTATCCCTTGACAACAGATTGCTGAAATTTGGCCTTCTATTCTGCATCATCAGAACACAGTGCCAAAGAAGAGTCTAGATCCTGTGGTGCCAAAAATGCATTTGAAGGTACTATTTCTAATAATTCATCATTAGAATCAATCACCTGGGGATTACTAGAAATGCAAATTGTCAGTTCCCACCCCATAAACTAAATCAAAAACTTTAAAAGTTTATGTATAATTAATTCAAATACATAAATAAATAAGAAAATTTTAAAAACTTTAAAAGTGGGGCAAATCTGATTTTAACAATAACAGATTGTTACCAGTCTGTTTTAACAAGATCTCCAGGTGATTCAGACACACACTGGAGTTTAAGAGCCACTGCTATCAATCTGCTCATATTAGTATGAAAAAAAAAAAAAAAGCATGTGGCATTTTAAACAAGTACTCAGAATAATGGATGACAACCAATTTGCATTAATCCCACCCACAGACAATAATGCTACATTTTCCTAAAAGTAGATACTCTGTAGAATGAAGGTAAGCAGACAGGGAATCACACTTCATCTTGTTTCCTCCAAACCTTTTAAGCAGTTTGCTATAAAGATGAGCTGTTTTAAAGTGTAACTCAAACAGCTGACCTGCCCTTGCAAATTACAGCGCAGCAATTTATCCACTTATGCCCACTTATCTGCCTAACCAGCCTGATCTAAAAAAAAAACTAAAAGGACCATTCTCATCTGCTGAATGACCTTGACTATCTGTCCCAGGAATTATTAAGCAGAGCTTGGATGAACATTTAGCCAGCGTATTTGCAAAGGACTCCAAAACCACTAGAGGAGATCAGCATTTTGCAAGCCTAAAAGTGCTTGCAAATCACCTGGGGATCTAGGTGCAAAGTAGATTTTGCTTCTCCTCTTGAGAAAGTATGGCCAGAAGATCTGTTCTTCTACCCTACTCTCTGGGTGGGGCTCGAGAGTCTACATTCCCAATAAGTTCAGGTGGTGTGAATGCAAGTGGCAAGAGCAAATAACCTCCCGTCAAGCCCTGAGATTCTGACACCAAGGCAAAACGTAAGCCTTTCTCTTTGCTGTAGTTTCTTAAAAATGCCTTCTTAGAATAGTCCTTAGGGTCAATCTTGCTGTCCGACAAGTTTGCTTATTCTTATTTAGGATAGAAACGAGTAAATGCCACAGTTAAAATCTTTGCCAAATAAGGAGCAGCCGTTCACGTTCACAACTGAACCTTAATACTGGAGGCTCATCACCAGATGCCTCACGGTCACCAACTTTAAATAAGAATGAGAATCCAGATGTGCCACCCGTGATGTTTCAAAAGGCATGGGGAGGGGATGAGCAGGTCTCCCACACAAACTGTAGAAGATGATAACGTTAAAAGAAGATGATCTTGTGTCAATGCCCACACTGTCAAAAGTTACAGATTCTCTCTCTCTTCCTCTCTCTGTCTCTCACTGTGTGTGTGTGTGTGTCTCATTAAAATGAAGGCGCTCAGCCCACTAGATTGAAGACAGCAATCACTCCTAGTAAAAACCACTAGGTAATTCTGCATAATGTCTTCTGAGGCCACAGAACACTATTTTAACCTGTCTGATCTCTGAGGACTCAACCAGAACTTTATCAGACCATCCACCCAAGCTGACCTTTGCTTTTCCTCTGAGCCCTCATTTTTGCTCCAACTACAAACATTTCTGTAAAAGCAACCAAATGCTTCCTCGCTTGTGCCTCTAACCCTGCCAGAGCTCCTCAGGCAGGGGGAGCACTCAATACACTTGTTCAACCATCAGCCCCCTCCTCCCATGGCACCTGGCACAGGTTACATCTTATTAAGTGCTTTGAATAAGGGAATGAAGTTACAGACACTGTGACCCTGAGTCAGACAAAGATTTCGTGGATATGACACCAAAGAGGTAATCCATGAAAGGAAAAAAAAAAAAGATAATAAACTGGACTTCATCAAAATAAGGGACACTTTTAAGAAAATGAGAATACAAGCATAGACAGGGAGAAAATAGTTGTCTAAGTCATGTGTTAAAGAACTTTTGTGGAGGATTTATAAAGAACTACAATTCAATAGTAAAATGGACAATCCAATTAAAAACGATCAAAAGATTTGAATAGATATTTCACAAAAGAAGGTATTGGAAAGGCTACTAGTACACAAAAAAAGATGCTCAACATCACTAGTTATAAAAACCACAATGAGATGACACCACACACAAAAATGACTATAATAAAAGACCGTCAGTACCAAGCGTTGGCTAGGATATGGAGACCCTGAAACCCTCCTCTACTGCTAGTAGCAAGATAAAATGGTAGTCATTTCAGAAAACTTTCATTTAAGAAGTTTGGCAGCTTCTTAAAAAGTCAAACATAAATTTACCACATGATCCAGAAATTCCACTCCTAAGTATCTTTCTAAGAGACATGAAAACATATGTCCACACAAAGACTCATACACAAATGTTTATAAACACAACAACTGGAAACAGTCCAGATGTCCACTGTTAAGTGCATAAATAAAATAGAGTATATCCATGAAATGGAATACTATTTAGCAACAAAAATGGAACAAACTCTTTGTACATGCATTAATATGAAGAAGCCTCAAATACACTATGCTAGGTTAAGAGAAATCAGATGCAAAAAACACCACATGTTGCATAATCCAATTTATATAAAATTTCCAAAGAAGGCAAAGAGCAGGGACAAAAAGCAGAAGAGCATCTGCATGGGGATAGAGGTTGGAGTGGGGATTGAACAGAAACTAGCAGGCGGGAACTTTTGGAGATTATGGTTTATGACAGTTGCAGGAATCTAGAAATCCACTGACATTCATTGAAGTATAGTTTTATAAAGACTATGCTTTATGGTTATAATTTCACTTCAAAAAAGCTGTGAAAATGCAAAAAAGAAAAAAGAAAAATGAATCTAATCAATTCATGCTGGTTCTATAGTAGATGGATATTTTAGCTTTTTTGTTGCTCTGAGCAAAAGACCTGACAAGAAAAATGTAAAGGAGAAAAGTTTATTTTGGTTCATGTTTTCATAGATTCAGTCCACAGTCGACCGACTCCCTAACAGAAGATCATGGCAGAAAGGTGTGGCAGAGGAAAGAGGTTCAGGACATGACAACCAAGAAGCC